TTCGTCGTTGCTTATTTACGTCCTCCATAAAACGCGAAATTAGGCATTTTCACGTCGTAGTCGTGCAAAAACGGGAAAGAAATGAACAAAAAAGTGTGTTGCACGTGCGAAGTTGTTGTTTTGCTAATTAAACCTATTGTTTTTTTGACGTTCTAGTTGTCGTCCGCGTCGTTGGATCTTAAACTCCCTAAATTGTACAAACGACCGGTTTCAATAAACCGGCGAAATTTCGCATTTTATTAAAGTACTGAGGTTACGACAACTTCGAGTTAAACTGATTTCACGGATTGTCAAAGAGTCCAGCGATTCCTTTTTCGCAGGTGAGCGCCGACTCATTTCGCTTCAATATTCAGGAATGCTCTCGATCTTTCTACGCTTTCATTGCCTCTCGCCCGACATGTTTTGCACGGCGTTTGGTCATGCGAAACCTCCACGAAACATCCACGCCTCGCGTGAGGTAACTCTATCCCGATTCTAAAAATAACTCGAGACGAATTACCTATGGAATAGGGTGTATATGGGGGATGCCCTCTCTGTCCCCTTTATAGTCTCTTGGTACATCTTATTTTATCAGCTAACACAGCTTAAATCACAGGTAGCCCAAGCTCGAAATATGAGCATCGGCGAGCATCGGCATTATTGTGTAACATTCAAAATATAAGGATTTGTATGGGAAAGAAACCTATCGTTTCTGTAACCCACGAAAATGAAAGGATTTCAATAAAAAATACAGCTTACCTTACTTAAAATGTGTGTTACGTCTCACCTATTTATCATGTATTTATGGCCGATTTATGGGTTTTTATGTAAACGGTTTTCTCTCTATATATTTAAGTAAGGTAAGCTGTTTTTTATTGAAATCCTTTCATTTTCGTAGATTACAGAAACGATAGGTTTTTTTCTCATACAAGGGGGAGAGAGAAAGGTCGCTTATTAATTTCCGGTGGCTTGGTATCCGACTTCAGACTGAGGTAATAGCTGTGGTCACACTACACACTTTTACCTAGGAAAACTCGACTTGTTGACCGTTTACCAAGAGAAACTTGATTATTTAAGTGTGACCATGTTCCTTAGGTAACTTACCTCGGGAAAATCTTTTCGTCTGGGGCTTACAAATGTCTCGAAAACAATAGAGTTTCCCTTGACAGCTACCTCAAAGCGATAGCTAGGGAAAAATGAAATTCCGAGGTTGCTAGCTATCGGCGAAGGTCTTGATGACAGAACCGGACGGCTCACGTTGTGAAAGAAATTTGGGGGGCACGAGTCGTCTACGTCTTCGCCCACCCTGCATGTTGAATTAGCGTAAGAAATAATAGCTAGATAAAAAGAAAAACGTCTCTTTGATCGGTTACACCCCTGCGCATCTTGCCTTCTTGAATTCACGCGCCAAAAATTAAACTGTGCGTGAAAACCTTGGGAGCTGATACTAGTCGTGTGACCCTCCCAGAATTTTTTACCTTGGTAAACAAAACCCGAGATCATGAATAGGACAATTGTCATTTTACTACTACTACTACCAGAATCCTTCAGTTTGTTGGTTTCTCGTGTAAATTAACTTAGGTTATTGTTGTTTTAATCTCAACGGGATTGACAATCTTGTCGTCGTGAAAATGGCGTATTATTTTTTTAAGTCTGCTTTGTGTGTGTGTGTGTGTGTGTTTTTCTTTTTTTTTGGAGGGGGGATTTTGCTATTGGATTATTTTCTCAGATTCTTTAGTACTTGGTCACATTTTATGGTCAAATTTAGTCTAATTGTGGGTCAATGTACATATGCATGTATATAACTGTACATCCTTACTACGCACACTTAACTGAAATGCCACATCAGACCGTGTCATCGCAGTAGTATGTAATTGGTGGCCTCTGGGGTGACTTTGTCCGCAATATACTTTTGTTAAAGTAATCCGGATAAGCTCACTAACGACGAATCACTTTCGTTTTTAAAATAAATAGATAAATAAAAATGATGTAAATTAATTAATTAGATAATAAAAATAAAGAAGAATTTGATTGTAGCACTTCCAACTTCATCCCCATAGTTTTTCCCCGCAGAAGAAAAAATGCGAGGGCGAGGAACCAGAACACAACACAAAAACGTGTCTTTTTGAGGTATGTACACTTAAATGTTTGTTAATGTGCATTTTAACCGTTTTCTTGAGCTTACCACAAATTCCCATACAAATCCTTATAATTTGGCTTTAAGAGACTGTCAGTTGAGCCTGGGTATCCTGTGGTCTAAGTTGTGAGTTATAACATAAACTTCCGTTTATAAGCCCCCACCACCCCCCTTCCCCCCCCTCCCCCCTGCTACCGGTTATAGGCCTATCTACCTGCAAACAACAAAAGAAATACATCCGGTTATAAGTTCCCCTCTAAATTGTATTGAAATGATTTCGATTCTTTACTAAGTTTTGACAAAGCGGACGAAGTTCAAAAAGTATATTGATTAGCACTGCTTGAACCTTGTTTTGAGACACTTTTTTCGGTGCAGTTATAAGCTCTCCGGATATAAGCCCTCCCAGCCCCCCTCCTTTTATAAGCCTTCTTAAAACCTCTTACGAAGTTGTCTAAGCCCGGGGCTTATGAGCGGAACTCTATTTTATTAACTCTTCGTCGCGATAGTAAACCTTTTATTTGCGGAAAGAAAAAATCAAATCCAAAAATTGTCAAATCTTAATATATCATGTAATATATTATTTCACATCCATTTGTCATCATTGTATAAAGCAGTCAATATTCAGTTAAAAAGAAGAAGAAGAAATGATGTAAATATCGCTCTTACAAAATTTCACAATAATTTAGATGAAAAATTCGTGATCAGGTTTTCCAATAAAAGAGGGAAGAATGTAGGAATTTGCGATTGAACGATTTACCGGCAATCGGTTTTTTTGGAGGTCATGTATTCACTTCGAAACGGAATTACAAGTTGATTTTAAGGCAGATTCAGAGGCCGATCAATAACCTGGAACGCCGTTAATATTTTGTCGACAGCTTCGCCCCGATTAACATAATTGCACTACAATTATGTTGTTATCTGTCGGAGCTAGAGAACTTAATCTGCTTTATTAAAATTAAGCAACTGAGGGGCGATTCAAATGAACTCAAAATTCTGTTTTCCTAAATGTGGTCTGGCTTGAAGCGGCGAAAATCTGTGTGGAGTTCAGTGCAAATCTTCCACGCAATCGAAAATGCGCTACCTGATCACGCACACGTCGGAAACATTTATAACATGACTATATATCGGATTATAAATGTCCTTGCAGGTGCTTTAGTTTTGGTTTCAAATTAAATTTTGAAAAATCAAATTGCCTATATTAAGCAAGTGTAGAGAGAGACAATGGCTTTTAGCGAAGGGAAGACTGAAACGATCAAACATTTAGAAGCTGCCGTCTGATGTGATTAACCTTTGCTACCAAGATTCGTATCATTTAGCGCAACATATTTACCCGATTAAAGCGATTGTGTAACTAGTTTAATAATGTCGAAGGCTAGTTACCTTTCATGTAAATAATCGGTTCTTATTCATTACTTGTTGGTTCTAATCCCTCTTCTTGAAAAAATATAAATCCTTCCGTGCCGGTGTGTTACTTCCTACAAATGGTGTATTTTCCTTCTTTTTTCTTTTATTTGTTCGGAAGAAAACAGTTTCGCCGGTTTCCTAGTGATTTTTTTATCTCGTGACAAGCGAGAAAAACACGCAGAAAAGCACTGCATATTAAGATTATGGATCTGAGGTTTTATTTACTTTTCATAACTATATTGCTTACAGCAGTCAGTTCGCTGTATCCAAAACGAAAATAAAAACAAAAGAAATTCCCACTAAACTATTTAAATTTGACCAAGAGCATGAAATTATTTTCCAACACATACAAGGAAGCTATCGGTTGAGAAAAGAGCCGAAATTTCAAGTAACTCAAGTATCAAAAGTTGTCACAGCTAGAACTCATATTCATATTCATATCAAGTTCATGTTCAGACACAAGTTTCCTTCTCTGTAGTTGCTAAAAACGGTTTCTTTAAAAGACAGGTTGGGCTGTGATTATGTGAAAACGATGAATCCAGTAAAGAGCTCATATTGGTGCGTCTAGTTTTGTTACCGTTTCGCATTATCCTTCTCCTAAAATTCACCCGCCGACAGTGCAGAATATCAGTTATTGCTTTCTTGAATTTTCTACTGACTGTTGTAAATAAGAGTGGGTTTATACATGAGTTGAGATAAGTTAGAGACTTGAGAATGTCTAAGATTGCTGGATTGATGGCGTAAGACAGAGATTTTTTTGTCGAGAGAATCAGCGTCAATACGAAGAAGCCTACCCAGCATAATATAAACACACCAATCACGATGACCATCTGTTTTGCTGAGTGAATATCTCTTTTAAGTCGGGTCCCTCCGTTGCGTCGTAGAACACATGTCCTTGTGGTAACCTGATAGATCTTGACATATGAGAAAATAATGATTACCAACGGCAGGAAGAAACTGATGATAGTGATGGCAATGCCTTTATGGCTCCAATTGAGAAGTAGAAGCCCTGAGAGCGCTGCAGAAATCGCCCAAACTAACAGAATGGCGGCTTTGGCGCGAGACGGCGTTAGTATAACTAAGTGTGTAAGCGGGGAGGCGACAGCAAGCAATCTATCTAAGCTGACCAAACAAAGGTTCCATATGGATGCGGTGCCACATATGAGGTCTATTGATCGCCAAACATCATAAAACACAGTCCCACCGGGAAACATATTTTCCTTTGAAATTCTGGACACCATAAATATAGGCATGGCCAGTAAAGCAGTTAGAAGATCCGCGATTGAAAGGGACACTAGAAAGTAGTTTGTGATGGTACGTAGTTCTTTATAAAGGCAAAACGCGGTCATTACAAGTAAGTTTCCCAGTAGTGTTAAAACAATTAATATCGCGATCAACGAGCAAGTGACCACTGTGAGATAAATATCTTGTCTCGCTTTCTCCTTAAGTGCTTGGTCCGGCGGCATTGGATAACTCTCGTTCTTCATTCTGCGTTTAATACGATGTTCTTTTTTGCTAGAGGTATCTTGGAAAAATGCTTTTCATTAGAAATTTAAATCGGTAATGAGATAATGCAAATTTGTTGGTAATCTTTAGTGCTCAATTGGCCATACGGTAGTAAAGAGATTACGGCAATTGTTATCCAATTCTCTTCTGAAGAGCCACGCAATTCTTGGCTAGCTGAGTAGGTTACGTGATAAGAAGCGGCAGTATTTTATGAGTCCGACACCTACTTAGCCTCTGTCACACAAGTTTGTTTTCAAGTTTATATTAGCGAGTGTTTGTTCCCGCTGGAGTTGTCATCTTGCAAAACCGTTGTTGGCACTGTGGCCACACTATTTTCTCTTTCAGTTTTACTTAAGGGAAACGTACTCTTTATAGTATATATTACCTAAGCATCATAATGAATACTGTAACAGCAGTTGTCTTTAAAATATGTAGCAATCAAATTGCCGCTTCGATTTGATTATGATTATGATTCACCTAAATGAATGCACATCAACAGCAGAGATCTACTGCTTCAACTCATGATGACGGTGGTGAATTTGTCAGGTTGAAGTGTGCCTATAGATTTGTCGACTGAAGCACGTGCGTCTACACAATAGTGATCGTTTGGTGTAGGATTAAATATTTTAAAAGCAAGTGCGATGACTTGAGTGCTAAAAGCGGATTAGCCTATTTCGCTTCATAATAACCAATACCAGTGAAATACTTCTAATGGCTTTGACCATTAAGCAAGTAATGTATTAATCACGGTAACCACTGACTACCAACATATGACGCACGGTGGATGAACTGTTAAATTGAAATCTTCTGTTTCTTAATCGGACTGTAAAAAGCGTTTGGAAAATTTGTGATTTTAAAACTGCACTTCCTGAGCATTGTGTCCTTAAGTAATACTCACGCCCTCTTCTGAAATAGTTTACATATAATATCTCTGAAAAAAATCCGTAGCGATCCACTATTGCAGCTGAGATACAAAATAACAGTCTGGATGGACTCAACAACCGACGAATTTAGTGAAAGGGTGATACTACGTTTTTGATTTAAGTTTATTCAATTTCAAATGAATTGGACTTATTTGTCTTAGGTATAACAAATTGTCCTAAGGTAAGTTAAGAAGTACATTTGTTAAAATTCGATGTTATTAAATTATTCTTTTTATTAAGTGAACACGGACATCGCAGGTAGATTATTGTACTTAAAGCCTGCTCAACAATTTTCAGTTTTGAAAGAGTTTTTAACACAAATTAAACTTGGAGTAAAAAATTACGTACGTTTCTTTACTGGGTACATGCAGAACAATCCCTTTTTAGGGGCTGCCTAAGTCCGTATTCACTGCAAACCTGGATTTCAGAATAATTCTTATTCAAATAACCCAGTTACCCAGGGAGCAATACTTGGACTGCATTTATTATGTATATCACAGGGGGAGGGGAGCAGAGGAATTTTTTTTTTTTTGGGGGGGGGGGGTCTTAAAATTGTTTTAAGGGAAAAGGGGGGGGTGGTAAAAAATTTTTGTGGGGCAAACTTTCTATAACAATATATTTAAATTTCCACTAGTTTCAATAACTCTCTTCTTCCACGAAAAATAAAATTTTTGTTTTGCTTTGTTAACCTTTATCTCTGCACCCTTTCTTCTCTTTTGCCCTATTTTTTCTTTCCCCTGAAAGGTGGGGGGGGGGGGGGGTTTTGCTTTTTTTTTTTGGGTAAGAGGGGGGGAGGGCCGTGTAAAAATTTTTTTTGGTCCGGGGGCTTTTAAAAAAAATTCCCCCCTAAAAAAAAACCCCCCCCCCCCCGTCTTCCCCCCTGCAGTATACATAATGAATGCAGCCAGCTTGCAAAAATTATATTCACTAAAAGGAGTTGAGTGAACTCCATCATAAGAAACTCTTCAAACAACACTTTCAGGACATTTTCCATTCTAAAAAAAAAAAAAACGAAAAATGTCGCTATTGTGAATTAAATTTACAACTGCTTTGCGGAATGTGTTGGTTTAATTTGACTTAAATTCATGTCACGTAGCCTTATCGCAAGGTACATATTTTGGGAAAATATGAAATGGCAAACTGCTCCAATTACGGTAAGGCGATGATCAAAGAAGTAAATAAAAGAATAAAACAAAAATACATAATAATATTATATTGCCCAATATTTCGGTTTGAAAACAAACCTTCTTCGGGGGCTAAAGGAACAATGGAAATATAAACTAAAAGTTCGTTACCGATAAGAAATTGAAAATGTGACAATAAAAGCAATGGATTGGATCAGTTTGCCGTTTCATATTTTTCCACAAGTTTAATTGTACTGATTCAGGTCTACAACTGGGAGATCCGGCACCACTCATTGGTTTGTTGCTGTGGACTTGCTGACATTTTATACATATTTTGGGCTGAGGTTTAAAATTAATTTTTGTAGCATGCTTTCTTGAATCGGAAAAAATAAAATAATTATAACCGTTGTGCATACCGTGCAGTCGTAATAAGAACAAAATCAAAATTATTTTGATTTTGTTCTTATCTATCACTCCAGTGGCTTTATACAACGCTATTATTTTTAAACCAGGACAGCTTTATTAAATGTCTGTAAAAGTGTAATCATTGAATTTATACATTATAAACTGTTGACGCATAATGGCAGCATATCAGTGAGATGACGTCCTCACAAAAAATGTAACTCTTCTTGATATACGCGCTCAGCAAATAATTATGTAACTTAATAGACACTGTATAATTTTTAATCTTACATTGTTTCCCGAACCTTTGAACAGAGAACAAAATGAGCTGAATGAGGCTGACACACCTCACGACGTAATGACAGACAGCCTGGCAAATAATCGAACGATCAACCAAACAGGACTCAGGGCAAACACGACAAAATAAATATGAGAAAAAAAATATATTAGCGAGGTATAAATAAAGCGGGCGACATGCACATCACCTAACCTGAATCGTAGAAACTGAAAAGTAAACATATAAAACAAAACGATACAGCAGTAGTAATTATTTGAACTACCGCGTGACTAGTTCACAACAACGATCCTTTTCGCCAGATCACCTCGCTATTTGCATTCGACTTTTCACGTATAATGCAAACTGTGTGTGAAAGCGGTACATTAGAACACTATCCTTCATCGCTTCCATAGAGGATAATTCATCTAGAAAACGCTGAGGTATTTATTTTTGCAGAAGGTCAGGTCATGCCCCGCTATCCTGTGCTATCCGAATCATCAAAGATATTCTCACCTTCTCTGCTCGCCTTTTGCCAAGTGCCGCTATCAAGTTTTTTTGGTGTCTTTATTACCCCAAACTAATTGCAACATTTAAACGAAAAAAAAATAAAAAAATGTAGAGGCGTGTAAACGAAAGCCTATGGTGCTAAAAAGGTGTTTACGATCAAACCTGATCTCATTCTTAAAGAAAGATTTCAGGCATTTGAATTAATCAAGCAAACGTACACGGAAACAAAAAAAAACAACAAACAAAAAAGTTATACATAGCACAAGTAAAAAGATGCACGAAGAAATAAGTAATAAATAACATTGAAAGCAACTGAGAGAAAAAACATGCAAGATATTATATACGTGCAGGAAGTCACTCTCAGGCAGTTCTCGGATCAGTTACGACAGTTATTTCTTCAGTGGTTTTCAAATTTTAAAGGGATACTGCATTCCTGATTTTTAGAGGTATTTTGTTCCAAAAGGAGCCCAGCTCCTGGTTCCAAAAATCAGCAGCCGAAGTTGCCATAATTAGTTCTAGATCGCGGAAAATAATATGTATGGTAATGCAAACGTCCTAAATATTTGAAAAATAGAAATCGTAAATTCTAGGTAGAAAATTATTTTTCTGTTCGTTTATAAGCTCGCCCAATTGTAATTGCGTTCGACGTAGGAGAACGCAACCACTAATTTCTGTTGGGTGTCCTGTGCAATTAATAGGCGAGATTTTTTGAGAAAGTGCATTTGTGTCAACACACATTTTCCTCGCTTTGAGGCGCTAGCTTACGTTGTACCTCAGTTTGACGCGCTAACTCACGTGGTGATTCGTGACCATGCGTTCATGTCTTCGTACATCTTTTTCTTGATCGTTGTTGCTGCGTTGGCAACAGTTTTTCTCACCCGGGAACTGGTATCTATTTGTGTCCCTTGTTCACAGATGAAACATTGGCGATTTTCTGTTTAAACTTACTTTATCGTTTTCCTCGCAGTTTTCAATTAAGTGTTTTTTGTATAGGAAAAACTCCATTCTTAGATGATCGGATATGTAGATGTCATGTGTGCTGCATTCTGTATTTGTTTTTATGAGCTTAGATCGACCATATTCAACTTAATTCTATTACAAATTACATCATTTCGCTTTTAAAAGCTATTTAAAGCGTTGTATTCTCCTTTGCTTGTGACCATTTTTGAAAAATATACCAGAAGTTGAACGGTGAAACGTTGACCATCAATCTCACCAATTCCGGGTATGTTGTATTTGGAAAGCAGTGCTAAGTAGGTAAGTCGCGCTAGCCTAGTGTCATGCAACAAGGGTTTAAAGAGAGACGCAACGCTTTGACACTCAATCGATAAACTTTTCAGATGAATTTAATTTTCTGCATCCCAATTTTTAGCCAATTTTATTGACCATCCTACAGTGCGAAAGAATCAGCCCTGAGGATCACAGTCAGTGTTTGACCCGTTGTTTCCTACATATACTTTACTTAGATGTTTAGCCCACTGCTACCTGTACACCTTTTAATTAAATGGCTTACAAACATGTCGAACGCACTCTCCTAGGCTCCGATTCCTGGTTTAGAGTTTTGCTAGATATTTAATATACCCAATCAACTAAACAGAGGTCCACTATGATCTGGGCTGGCTGAAACCGGCTGAAATTTCTCATACGAACCCAAGGCGAAATAGGTCCCGGTAACCGGGCTCATGTGAAGAGGCCCTTAGACAAAGTTGACCAATCGGATTGCAGGACAATAACAATACATTTCGAGAAAGTTGGTTTTGGGCCAATCAGCAGCTCGTAAAAAAAAAAAAAACAATAAGTTGCTCCAAGCACAAAAGCAAACGTTTTTCAAGCCGGAAGTGTTTCACCAGACAATGTTTTTTCCATTCAAAACTGTACATATGACACCCAGGAGACACGTTTGTTTGACCCAAGCTGTTATTTTGTCAACTACCTGCAATTTCTTCGCTACCATCGCTGCGCTTTGCGATAACATCACGACCTGTAGTCAAAAATAGAACAGACCTCTCAGGAAACACGTGCTTTCTTCAGCGGGTTCAAAACGCCGCGTCTTGCTGGTTTAATTGGTTGATTTGGATCCATGTTGTTTATTTCGATTATGATCGACGAATAAATTTCCCGGAATGTTTCGTTGTTTTGTCTAGGTGGCCCCGGTTATAGCAGTCGCACTGCGGATTCGCATTCCCTTCTTGACGCGTTTGGCTACAAAAGCTTGTCTCAGATTTTTGTCAAGTGCGTTTGTTCTTCAGTTCTTAGCAGATAAGTTATTGATCAGAGGGATAAGTCATTAAACCGATACCTGTGAAAAAATACTAGTGTATATCTCAAAAAGGAAAAAAGAAAGTATAATTCGCAGACATGTGTTTTCAGAATAACACTCTAGCAGGAAGTTGGCCAAATTTCAAGCAAGTAGGTTCATGGGTTATACCACTTGGTGCTCAAAATGTCGCTGTACCTGACCTGGCGTCTCACCGGTAACAAAAGAAATCTCTGTCGCTCCCTTAAATCAGTTAGATTATTATTCCCTCTTGGTCCGACATAACATCTACAAATTTGTCGTCTGAATTTCGACTGCAAAGCGGTGCCGAGCCTAATGCATAAATTACTATCATAATAATATATTTTCACAGGCAAGTCCGATCGCGACTAATGATTGAAGTTCCACGTCTGATCAACCGTCGACCTTGTATCATAGTCAGCGACCTAAATAGTAAAAGTTCGGTACATGAAAAGTTCGACGTTTGAACTGGGTCTAAGTCTGACGAACTCTCTCTAATCATCAAAGATTTGCACAAATTTCGAAAAATGAAGAGATCAGCTCAAGTTACTCACCTTAATGTTTTGTCTTTTCGAGACTGGGTCCAATTTTTCTGGAGGTTGAGTTGTTTTCGTCTAGATTTGTGACTGTTTTTTCCAATAATTCTATCCAGTGCCGTTGAATAACCTTTGTGTTGAAAGAAATCATAGCAATGAAAAATACCCGCAGCTTTTACAAATAGCCAACTTTCGATATATTAAAATTTTAACTTGATCCCGAGGCTTTAGAGACAAAATTGCAAATTTTCGAGACTCTACTGTCTCGCAATTCTCAGAAGAGACCTGAGCACACAGAAAACCAAAGCAAATACATAGCAAAATGACCAGAAAGCCTGGGCGTCATTTAGAATTTGAATATATTGAACGTGGACTATTCTCGAAGAGCGAAGCAAAGGCGGCTCGTAGTGGACAAACTTACCCATAACACCTTGCTTTCCCGATGGAAAATGAGCGCCCCTTGTATGATCAAATCGGGATGACTTCTCCTTCTGTACCAATACGCTGTTATTTTGTGTCTTAATTCCATAGACGTCCACATATAAAATTGGAACTATACTATTATGCCCAGAAACACTGCTGGGACACTTAATTTTGCACTATCTAGGTCATCCAGGCCCATCCTCGTCCCCAGTTTTCAGTCGTGGAAAACGGTTCATGAAAAAAGTGCACGTGTGACAAAATATAAACTTGGACAGATGTACTTAAAGCGAACAGTGATTTAAGACGATCAGCTAGCTTGAGCCAGAGTTGCATCGTGTCCTCCTCGGTTGACCATCTTTAGGTTGGTCCAATCTAACATGAAAGTTAGTTTACCTCGTGATATCAACGTTTAAACTGCAGTAGAATGGAAGAAACTCTACCAATATGCAGGGCATTTTCGAGAACATCTCATAAATTTAACTTGTTCCATTTGAATGTCTATTAATCAAACTTGACTTCTAAATAAAAATGGAAAAACTAGAAGACACTCAAATTTTTAAATATTTGTAAATGTTATAGTTGGCTAGTACTATGTTGTATTTTAAGGGAAAGCTGCAAAAAACTGAAATTTCATGTTGGGGTTACCCAGAAAAGAGGTCTTTGTTCTCTCTTAGGAAACAGCGCTTCTCAGCAATAGCGATCGAGTTTATAAAGCATGCTAAACGGCGACCGCGGCAAAAACGTTACTTATAACTCGAGCCGTCTCTTTTTCAAACTTCATCGCTATTGTAAGTTTGAAATGAAAAGAAGGTAAAGTTATAAACTAAAATTTTAAAATTTCATATGTATAGCCGTAGACTCTGTTTCGGACGTCGCTTTATGGCCTCCGTCTAATTTGCATTAAAATAGAGAGCTGTTTAATATGTTATCATAAAAGAAAGTCAGTTTGCAAAGAAAAAACATTTGAACTTCTTTTTGTTAGTAAGCCTTGTTAGTCTTCGCAATTAATTCTTTGTGATGTATTTTACCTGACATTTTCAGTTTATTAATTGAGCTCGGAAAATATCTTCGTGTCGCTAACGATTCACTTCAGTCTTCTAAGTCAAGATTGAACCTAATAAATAATTAAAAAGGGCTTTTACTGAACTGAGAAAACCTTGGACTTATGGCGGGATTAGTGACAGAAAGAAATTTTCCATCAACTTGACAAAGTGTCAGGTTGAGTCCCAAAAAATAAAAACATAGTGGAGAAGATTCTATTTTTTCTGTGTGTGTAACTTCGACTGTCACATGTTTTGTCTTTTGAGAGTTCTTTTTGTGCGATGTAATTCAAGTGACGTGTAAGTATTAACAACGGTCAAGTTCCAAAATAAGTTAAAATAACCCTGACGTCTCCGAGATTTCTTTAGGCCGGCTAGGTAAATAGATGAAGACTCCATTAAAAAATGCATTAACAGGTAAGATGGGAACTCTTAATGTAGTTCGTTGAAGAAAATTCTTTTTTTGTAAAGATTTAATTATGCAAGTGCAGCAGATAAATGTATTATATTTCAAGAACATTAAAACATCGAGAGCGGGAAAATTTAATATACACGATAAGGATAGAGTTTATTTACAGCCGCGTAATTTTGCCATCATTGGATCGCTAGCGCTGTCAATATTCTTCATAATATCATCAGCTGGCTGCTTTTAAGGAGCGGAACTCAATGAGAAAGCTGTCAGCTGTGTGGATAGAAATCTCAGGAAATGCAAAAGAGTCAATGATATCTACACTTTTGTTTGAAACTGGGGTAAAAGTACTCTCTTCAAGCTCTTTCTTTGCTCAACGATAACTTTAGTTATCTTTTGAGCCCTTACAGATTGGAAACTAGCGTTCCACCTAGCTTCTTGTTATTTTCTGTCTAGATTTTTTGGCGCGCCAAAGGCATCGTGGTGGTTTTTAAGTACATCATCGATGATATGAGTCTGCAAAAAAGGCAAGAGTCCAGTCCATTGATTAATCCTGGGGAAAACCTTTTAACAATACTTCCAACTGCATTTTGAGTTGTCACCGTAAGTTAACTCGTCGTTCAAGCTACAAAGATTTATTTCTGGTCAGCAATTGACTGCAACACCATGAATTATTCCAATTTCACAGAAAACAACACTCTGGAAAGACTCAACTCGATATCTTGTAGACCTCAAATTCCGGATAATGACTTAACGAAAGCATGGAAGACAGTTATTTACTGTGTGACAATTCTCGTATCACTCGTCGGAAACAGTTTGGTTATTTTGGTGGTTTATAGGAAGCAACGAATGAGGACGACTACGAATTTCTTGATCGCAAATATGGCGGGAAGCGATCTTTTAATCGCCATATTCGTCATGACGCCCACTATTCGCTCTATTTACACAGGAGATGATATGCTAGTAGAAGGAATACTAGCTCAACTTGTTTGCAAGCTGGTTACTTTTCTCCAGCAAGCGTCGATAGCGGTTTCTATTTTGTCACTGACCGCTATTGCATTTGACCGTTTCTTCGCCATTATGCTGCCATTTCGTAAAGTAATTACTTTCCGCATCACAATGGTTCTCATCTCCTTAACCTGGATTTTTGGTATTTTCTATGCAGCGCCAATCCTATACACAAATCGGATTTTTACTAAAAATGGAAGCGACGATGGAACCTACTGTCACGAGGTATGGGAGCCACTGTTCAACAGCAGCAAAGCCAGAAAAGACTACACTTTTATAAACTTTGGTTTTCTGTATGCTGGTCCGCTCACTGTAATAACGATACTATATACAGCCATCGTGATTGAACTGTGGCGAGGGAATAACATTAAATTTCGCTGCAGTGTGAACCAACAAGAGATTGAAAAGTCGAATAGAAAAGTCTTGAAAATGTTAGCAACTGTGGTTATTATTTTTGCAATTTTCTGGTTTCCAGTTTACATATTTCAGTTCATGTTTTATGTTCGAGGTCCTGATTCGTGTTTATTTCCTGGTATAGTTCGATTTATTGGTTATTTTCTTTGCCAAGCCACGAGCGCTGTAAATCCTGTTGTCTTTGCGATTTTTTGCGAAAATTATCGGGAAGGGTTCAAAGAATCTTTTCGCAACATAAAACGTCAAAGTAAAAACTTTCTAAGGTGTGGTTCAAATACCGTCCCAAATAACAGAAGCATCGAGGCATAAGCCCTATAAAAGAGTCTAACAGTCAACCAGGTTGAAACACTAAAAAAGGAATACGGCCTTGTTTTTATTAACTTAAACAAATTTTAATTTCAAAAAAGAGGACGATGACAAATGCCCAAGTTCTCCAATAAAAAGGAAAAGAAAGAAAGAAATATTGGGGAATCATAGTTTTTCTTTGCGAGCAGTCTCAGTATGGCACAAAATATTTCACGATGCAGAAGAAACAAAAACAGCATGCCAAACGAAGCACTGTTACGCACAAGAAGAATTGATGATAGACATGATATATAATGATAAACTCGATAGTAAAGAAAATATTTTTAG